GGTTGGTGGGTGGGTGGTTGGGTGGGGCGGAGAGTCAGGATGGGTCGGCATGGCGGATGTGGCGGTGGGAAGGGCGCGCTGGGCCAGGGGTGGCAAAGGGCATGGGGAGAGGTGAGCCGTGGTGAAGTGGGGGCACGAGGCCACAGCGATGGCTGCACATCGTGCTGCGTCCCTGTATGACTGGCAGGCAGCAGCCTGCTTAGGGTGTTTTGCACCTCATCCTAACACACAGCACAAGTCCATTACTGGACGACAAGCGCTTGTTGCACTACGGGTGTTGATCATTGCTGATTTCATGCGGACTCTGTGGCCCCGAGGCAGGAACCAGAGCGTCTCACGCCCGAGCCGCATGAGGGGCCTCCAGGCACCGCCCGCAGCTTTCCAGTCACCGCACCCCTTCACCTGCCCTCAACCCCCACCAGGCGTGTTGCGTGGGCTGCGCTGCCTCGAGATTACTGCGGCGGCGCCCAGCGTGATGGGCAGCGGCTTGATGCAGCTGGCGTTCTTGCCCGCGCTGCGCACGCTGGTGCTGTCCCTGGACATCCCCCCCGCCTGCCCCGAGGCTCTGGTGGACCTCCCCACAGGCCTGGCCAGCCTGGCGCTTGCCAACATGTGGCTGAGAGAGCTACCACCACAGCTGGCAGACCTCAAAGGTGGGTGCCAGCGGGAGCAAGAGGAGAAGCAGTGTGTGGTCGGGAGTGCGCCTGGGTTCAGGGCCCATGGCTGGGGGCCAGTCGGCAGAAGACGCGTTACAGGATGAGGGGAGGGCTGGGCTGCTTTGAGTTTGGCAGGGCCAATAGTTCACTGCACCATCCCCTTCCTTTTGTCACCATCAATGCACCCCATTTTTGTTTTGCATGCCCCTCACGTGTGTCCCTGTCCTTGCACCTGCTAGGCCTGACAGCCATCAGCCTGGACCGCTGCAGCCTGGAGGCAGACCCTGTGCCACTGCTGCTGTCGCTGCAGGGCCTGTGTAGCGTCAGCATCCGCGCACCGCCGCGACCCCTGGGCCTCGACCCGTCCTTTGGGGCCGCTGCGGGTGGCGCGGAGGTGTCGCGCGTGGCGCTGGTGGAGTGTGGCCTGGGGCGCGTTCCGGTCGGGCTCGCCAGCCTGGTTGCGCTGACGGCGCTGGATGTCTCTCACAACCCAGAGCTGGGGGCCGACGTCGCCAACTGCCTCCCGGCCGTGCTGGCGGCGTTGCCTGGCTTGGCCACGCTGAGCATGGCACACTGTGGCCTGGGGCAGCTACCACCCACGGTGGGGGATTTATCAAATCTCACGCACCTGGAGCTGGCTGGCAACCCGCTGGCTGCTCTGCCAAGGCGCCCACTCGCCTGCGCTGAGCGGCTGGTGGTGCTGGGCCTTGCGGCCACGCGGCTCAAGGCTCTGCCAGCCTGGATTCTGGCTGCGCACAGCCTCAGGGAGCTCGCAGTCAGCGCTGCCTGCCTCGCCGGACCACCGCCCGGCGAGTCAGCGACGAGCAGCAGCCGTGGCAGCGCCAGTGTCAGCGCGGCACTTGGTTCCCTTTCAATAGGCCAGGGCGGCGCTGGCGGCCAGGTGGACAACCGGGATATCGCTGCTGGGCCCCTCAGCTCAGGGTGGTTGCGCCTCCTGCCAGAGCAGCTGCCCGGGCTGCTGCTGCTGAAAGTGGAGGGTGCGCTGTGGGAGGCCGCAGCTGTGCGCAACCTGATGGGGCTGCTGACGGACAAGGCAGGAACCAGTCAGCTGCGGGTTGACCTCATCTCGTGATGGGCCCAGCCGATGCAGCCAAAGCCTCCGCTCTCATACTGAACATGCACTGCGAATGGCTACGTGCGCCATTGCCACAGTTTTTGCTTGTTTTTGAGCTGGCCGCCAAATGAGTGCCTTTGGCGTACCATTGTTTCCGGGCGTGCCAATGCAGCAGCCCTGGTATTTCTGCAATGCTTTCTTGCCCATGGCTCTGCCTGGCTTGAAAGGCACGCGCATGGTGGCTGCTGCGCTTGCTGCTCACGGTTGCATGCATTGATGCACATAAACGGCACATACCGTATGACTGACAGAAGTGATAGGGAGGTTACTTGATTACACAGTGCGGGTACTTGGCCTGCCTAGGTACAGAGTCAGAATCATACAGCTGATCCTTGACAGAAGATATATGACAAATCTGACAGGTGCACAGCACTGTGTGAGCAAAGCCGGCTGTCAACACGGCCTTCGACCGCGGCCCAGGGATGAGTGCGGGCTTCAGCTGCTGCCGCCCATCTGCGCCGCCAGGCCTGCCAGCTGCTTGGCGTGGGTGGCCGCGAGCGCGTTCCGCAGCTGGCTGCCCAGAGCGGCGGCCAGGGGCGGGGGTACGGCGTTGCCGACCTGCCTGTGTGGCGGTGAGGGCGGCCAGGAGGGGGCAGGTCAGCCAGGTCAGCGGCCAACCGCCAATGGAATTGGAGTCGACATTTTTGGCACTTGCCGCCTGCACATTCCGCTGCAGGTGACACAATCTTGGGAGTCCCTCTGCCCATGCAGGGCTCCCCCGCACCCCCGCTGAGCCGCACCTATGCCTGTTGTGCACGTTGCCCGAGAAGAAGAAGGTGTCCGGGAAGCCCTGAGAGCGCGCGCACTCCCTGACGCTGACGATGCGGTCCTGGTCCGGGTGGAACACCTGCCCCACCTTGCCCATGGGCTGGGGGTCGGTGGTGCTGGTGGGGAAGTGGCCCGCCTTGTCCAGGCGGCCAAACAGCCCGCGCCACCCGTTGTGGCGGTCTGCAGTGTTGGGCAGGCACCACGGCACCAGGGGCTGGCCCTGCGAGATGGTGCCAAGTCGGCCGGGAGCCGAGAGAGAGAGTGCTCGGTGGTAGCACTGGCGTGGCTGAATGCGGCGTGGCAGGCCAGGAGATGGCAGCTAGCGCTTTCTCCTAAAGCCGGCTATGTGATACCATTTTGGCATCAGCCAACCAGAAACTTGTACTTAAGAGGTCGCCCCAATCCCCTAATGTTTTGTGTGCTGCCCCCCCTACGCCCTTGTCTCGCTCACGTTGAACTTCTCGCGGGCGGGGTCGTTCTTGACAATGTCCAGGAGCACGCGCCAGTCTGCCCCAGGCGTGTTCTTGGGGATGCAGCGGCAGCGCTCCAGGTTTAGGGGGTTCATCTCCTTGCAGATGTGGTCCCGTAGCTGGACGTAGGTGTGTGCGCGTGCGTGTGTTTTTGCATGTGTGCGTGCGTGCTGTGCGGGTTTGTGACAAGATAGGAGAGCATCCCAAGCAATACGAGGCAGGGCGTGAGCAAGCCCAAGCCCGGCTGCCTCGTGCGGGGGCATCAAATTGTTTGAGGGGCAGGACCGTGACTGTGTATCTCTACTGTGCTTACCGATGAGGCGCCGTTGCGGATCTTCTTCTGGAAGGCACTGACTGCGCCCTGCGTGTAGGGGATGTTGTCCCTGGGAGAGCAAGGAGGGGGGGGGATGGAGGGGGCTGGGGTGAAGGTTTGACCTGGAGCAAATACTTGCAAATGCTGCCGACGCCAAGAGTCGGCAGCATCATCGCCTCGATAACCACCTCTGCCAAAGTTGGGGGTGCTGCCAAGCCAGCAGGGCTCAACGCCCCTCCTCCCCCCCCTGCGTGGGCGGCCTCACTGGTCATGGCCGTTCTTGATGACCGGCAGGTCGCCGATGGCGTCGCGCACGGTGACGGTGCGCAGGGGTGCGCCCTGGGGGCATGCCAGTGGGGGCCAAGACGCAGCCACATGGTTAGTGCCAGACGCGCTGGCAAAGAGGCGGGTTGTCGTCCGCGCATGTCATGGCATCTGTAACCCGCAGATGCCGCACAACCTGCCATCCCCAGTCTCCCCTAGTCTCCACCCCGTCACCGGTGCTTACCTGGGTCTGCGGCACGGCTGTGTAGGTGACGCCTCCCGGCAGGTTGATGGTGAGCTGCGGGGAGCGGAACACATACTTGTGCTGCGGCCACGCTGGCAGCTGCTCCTCGGGGGCCGCCGCCCAGATGAAGGTGCGCTTGCGCGACTGGGGGACGCCGTAGTTGCCGGCGTTGAGCACGCCGAAGCGCACCTGGGTGTGGGGAGGACAGGCAGAATGGACTCATGCTGCCAGCTGGGGGCGACATGAGCTTCTTGACAGGAGTGCCCTGCAAAGCACCTATCAACCGTTCATTGTCAGCTTTCATAGCGGTGCTTATGTCATCCATCTCACCCAGCCCCCCGGTTCCCTGCAACCAACACAACAGCAGCCCGCCCCTTGACCCCGCCCTCGCCGCAAAAGTAAGGCAGCACTCACCTGGTAGCCCATGTCCAGCAGGGTGCGCAGTGTGAGGCGGAAGGTGAAGCTCTTGTTGTGGCTCACAAAGTTGCGCACATTCTCCAGCAGGAAGTAGCGCGGCCGGTAGAAATCGGCAAAGGACAAGAACGCCATCACCTGGGAGGGGGGGGGGAGGTATGGGGGTTTGGGGCCCACAGGAAGGGCAATCAGCTGTGAGGACGCCTGGGATGGATTTGTTGCGTCAAGGGTCAAAGGCCAGCATCAGTCGTGCAGCATGCAAGTGGGCCCCTTGTCCTCCCGGGCCAGCGAGTCTCGGGCCACCCACCATGGAGTTCTGCACCATGGACCAGTTGCCCTTGTTGAAGCGGTTCATGCCGCTGTAGCCCTGGCAGGGGGGTCCGCCCATGATGAATTCCACCTCACCCGGCCGCGGCAGCGCGGCGATGCGGTCCGGGGCCATGGCCAGTGCCCCGGCGATGGCGTCCTCATGCGCGCAGCAGTCTGACGTCAGCCCCGCCTTCTCCATGGCCGCCTGACGGGGTGGGCGCGGGGGTGTGGTGCAAAGTGAGGCGCTGGGGTTGAGGGCTGAGTTTGAGGCAGAGGTGGGAAGAGGGTCACGGCACGAGTTATTAAGACATGAAAGGCAGGTCTGCTGCAGTTGTGCTGACCAGGTACTGAAGTGTTGGCGCGCCACCTCCCGGATTGCTATGTCACAACGGCAGCGGGAAATGGCCAGCCCTTGTCCGCCGTGCGCCCCTGTCTGCCTGCCACGAATTTCCCTGCCCCCCTGGGCCTCTGTGCCCGCCGCACCCTCAGGATGACGTTGCAGTTGGCACAGAACACCTCTGCGCTGGGGTTGTTGAGCTTGAACGCGTCGGCCGCAGGCGACTCGTACTCGATGGCCCACTTGGTGTCGGCCACACCCGCCTGGTGCATGCCCTCAGACAGGCCGCCGCAGCCGGCAAAGATGTCCATCGTGGCCATGGCCAGGCTGTCGTCGACAGCGCCCTCGGCTGCGTCCGCGCTGGCACCCGCGCCGTCAGCGGCGGGCGCCTTCCCCTTGCCCTTGTCCGCCGCGCTCGCCTTGCCCTTGCCGTTGTTGGCTGCCTTGGAGGTGGTGGCGCCCGGGGCAAACTCAGCTGGCGTGGCAGAGGTCGCCTTGGTGGTGGGGTCAAAGGTGCCAACCACCTCGAAGGTGGACACCTCAGGGTCTGAGGGGTGTTGAGGAGTGGGGAGTTTTGGGCCGTTGATGCAGGGTGGCCGGTGAGTGCAAGGCAAAGCCACGCAGCCGTTAGCGGGGCAAAGGGGCAGGTGGGCGGTGCTACAGCCAATAAAGAATAGTGCCAGGTGGCAGCATGCAGGGCGGCAACCAGCACAGCCAAGCACTCCCCACACAAGCAAACACAGCGCCCTGCCATTTGCTTTCCTCCGCCACGACCCACCCTTGGGGGCCTGAGCTGGGCCCACGATGCACTTGGAGACCACAAGCGCGGGCTTCACCCACTGCAGCCAGGGGCCGTCGGCGGCCTTGCCCTTGGCGGGCGCAGGTGGCGCATACAGGTCCCAGAAGCCGGCGGCATACGCTGTGTCAGGGGACACGTCCTCAGGCCGGTAGTAGCGCGCCACGCGCACAGAGCTGGGCAGGGCGTCCTGTGAGGCAAAACAGAAATGGTGAGGGAGGGTGCTGAAATGGCAGGGAGGAAGGTGCAAGGCCTGGCGCACATCAAGGGTAGCAAGCCGGCCGGAGCGATCACAAATTGCATGGCACTAGCATGCGCAAAGACGCTCGTCAGCTGGAACAGGCGCAATACAATGCCGGCCGGACGCGGATGCCACCGCTAACCCCTGGAGAGCGGCACCCACCCATTCTCCCGCTTGCCGGCCCCTGCCCGCACCTTGCCGCTGCCCGCCGCCTTGACCTCAACAACGCGGGCCACAATGTAGGCACGCAGGCCCTCGCAGCTGCCCTTGACAAAGCGGCCCTTGCGCCCGTCAGCGTATTTGACGTCCTTGCTGCCCTTCTTGGCGGCGGCGCGCCGCTTGGGGGCAGCTTTCTTCTCCTTCTTGGCCGCGGGCGCCTTCTTGGGCTTGGCAGCGGCGGGCTTAGAAGCCTTGCGGCGCGCGGCCCCCTTGCCCTTGGCCTTGAAGTCCTCGTCAGCAGAGTCGTCGCCACCAGAGCCAGATGCCTCGTCCTCGCTGCCCTCGGCGTCCTCCATCTCCGCGTCGCTGGCGGCCGCCGTCTTGCCCTTGCCCTTGGCAGGCGCTGCCTTGGCCTTGGGGCCGGCGCGCGCTGGCTGCTGACGCTTGCCCTTGGGTGCCGGCTGGGCCGCCTCCTCCTCCTCGCTGCTGCCCGCCTCCTCCTCCTCCTCACTGCCGCTGGAGGCCGCGTCGCTGGCGTCGTCCTCGCTCTCGCTGCTGCTGGCCTCGTCCTCGGCGTCGTCCAGGGCGTAAGGCTGCAGGAAAAGGAAGTCGCCCACTGCATACTCCACGCCCTCCTTGATGAAGCCGCCGCCCGCCAGCACGCCCAGGGCCACCGGCGGCGAGGGCGGCGCCACAAAGGTGCCGAGGCCCAGGTCCTCTGGGAGCGCGCAGAACATGCCCTGCTGCGGCCGGTACCAGTGGCGGTAGAAGTAGCGCAGCGGGCGGCCTGGCGTGCAGTTGGGGTGGTTTGTGGGGAGGGTGGGGGTTGAGTGACGTCAGCCGTCCGTCTTGAATGAAGGGCCAGATTTGACCACCCAGTGCTATGCAGTCCTGCTGGCCATTACTGGCTCAGGGCGCAAGGCGCACGCACTGACATTGCAGGACAGCGAGGCGTGCAAGCAGAACAATGTTAGGCACTGGCTGCACAATTGTGATTTTTTGCCCCAGCCTCGTTGCTGCCGCGAGCACCTCCAACCCCACCTGCTGCAGCCGCAGCCTTGTTGGCCTTGCGAAGGGCCTCGTCCTCCTCAAAGTGGCGGCCGCGCAGGTCAGCAGCCCAGTCGCGCTCCAGGCGCTTGGCGTCCAGCGTCACGCCTGGGATGGCGGTAAAGGGAAAAAATGGAGAAATGTGTTGGGAAGTGGGTTAGCAAATGGGCCCGCGCCAGCATACTCTGCAAGGCGTGGGGACTACAATAGCTTGCAACAAGCTAAACGCTGCTGTGCAAGTCCCAGTCAGGTGTGCCAGCACAGTGTCAAGACTGTTGCTGGTCCTGGCACTGAATGCAGCCCCCTTGTTGCTCTCAAAACCCAGCGCGCATTTGCCGGCCATCTCAGCACCCACCAGGCAGGCCGGCCAGAGGCACGGTGACGTACTCGTCCGACACAAACAGCTCGGCATCAGAGGCGGCATCGCCCAGCACCGTCTCCACGCCCGGCAGCAGCATGCGCACCTGCACAGCACAAGGCGGGCATCAAGGGCGGGAGATAAGGCAGAGCGTCCCAGCAGGGCCATGAGCCCCATAGCAACACTGCAGCGGGGGGCTGGATGCTGCCACGCTGCTGGTGCGCGCCATGGGAGCAGACGACAGCATGCAGCACAGCGTTCCATTCCGACTCCCAAGCAGCAGCACACCTGCACCATCTTCTCGCCCGACTTCTCCTGCAGCAGGCACTGAACCAGGCCGGCCGGAGGCATCTTGGGCTTCTTCACTGCCGCCACCTCCGCTGCGGCGTCGGCGCCCTCGCCCATCTCCACGTCCCCGTCGCCGTCTTTCTTGGCAGCGGGCTTGGGCGCAGGCGCCACCTCCTCCTCATCGTCGCTCTCGGCGGGGGCCGGCAGCTGTACCACATCGCCCAGGGCAACCTGCCAGGCGCCCATCTTGGCAGCGCGGTACAGGACGCGGCCCTCGGCATCTGCACCTGTTGATGCACCCACCCACTCGGGCTTTTTGGACTGCGGTTGGTTGAAAGAGTGCGACATGCGATGTTGTCAAATCGGTGTACCATCCTTGTTGCTGATTTGTTGCAAGCCGTGTAGAAGCCGAGCACATAAAAACATCTGCCCACCCCAAAAGACTGAAACAGCACACCCATACACCAGGCACAACCAGCCCACCTCAAGCAGCACGCCCAAGGAGCACCTTGCCCACCTGGCTCTTCTTGCCCTTGGCTGCAGCAGCTGCAACCGCTTTGCCCTTTGCGGCGGCCTTGCCCTTGCCCTTGCCGCCGGCCAGTGCGTTCTCCACAGCGCCGGCGGCCTCGTCCTCGTCCTCCTCGTTGGGGTCCTCCTCCACCTCGCGCGCCACAGTGCCTTCCTCCGCGGGCTGCGGGCCCGCGCCACCCTCGCCTACGCCAAAGTAGTTCTCCCAGATTGAATGCACCATGCGCGTTGACGTGGCAGGCATGGGCTTGCTGCGGCCCGAGGCGCGGTCCTTTGACAGTGGAGACACACAGGGCGAGGGAGGGCACAGCAGAGTCAAGGGAAGGATTTGACACACTTGTTGTTGGCAAAGTTGATCCACGCAAGGGAGGCCATAGGCCGAGTAGATGGACAGAGCAGCCTCGCTTGCCTTCAAGCGCAGGCGCACAGCCAGCCCACGCGCGGCTGGCGCAGCACACCTCAGCCTGGCCGCAGGATGTAGGCACAAGGAATGGCCACCGCCCCAAACACGCACCTTCATAGGGTTGCGGTTGACGCCTGCGACGCGCATGGCACGGCTGAAGCCCTTCTTGCTGTAGTACAGCTTGCTGTGGCGGCGGGCCTCCATGGCGGCCTTCAGGCCGGTGACAAAGGGGCTGCGCTGCACAGACTGCGCA